AATAACAGGGCTTCAACTTAAAAAAATTCTAGAGGCCATTCAGTGACTAGATAGCTTTAGGAAATTATTTGAGTACAAAATTTCTCTACACTTGGTCCAATCCTCCAACATCATCCTGGCAAGCCTTTCACCTGGCATGACCCCGTAACATGTCTCTATGATAACATGGTACAGTAGTGGATAAATGGTGTGCCGCAAGCATTTCTCCTTTTATCTTGGGCAAACAAAAAAGAGTTTTGTTATTAAAGAACCTTTCAAAATTGTTCAGATGTCTCATATGGAGAGATAGACTTTAAAGTGCCAAGAGGGAATTGGTGTGGCAGAGGCCTTTAGACTATCACAGCTTTTGAAGACAGGGGACCCTGACTGTAGGAATTGCCCTGGCTATCAAAACAGACCTGATGGGGCTGCTTGATACTGAAGGGTTTGGGTCTAGCCCCAGGCAATGATGCTTAAACCCAAATTTTATCCATTTTCAAGTACACAGTAAGAACTGTCCTGATGCCAGGATGTGAGYGCAGCAGAGGAGCAATACGTGTGCGGTGCATGCAGAGAGGCTGTGGAAGGCCTGCAGAGCCCCGTAGGACRCTTGCAGAGCCTGCTGGTGCAGCGGCAGGCAGCCTGCCCTAGGGGGAGCAAGYCAAAAGCTCTGCTGGTGGAAGCTACTCCTCACATCCTGACAAGGAAGCACAGATTGCTCCTGAAAATCAGAAATCTGGCATATGCATCATCTCAGAAGATGGACACTTTTGAGCATACACAGACCCTCATGAGTCCACAAACTTAATGGTACTTGCAGGGTTAAGTCCTGAGTGTGCCTTCTGAGTATGTCTTTCAACTCTCCCACACTGAGATAAAAATACACAGCTATATTAGCTATGACAAATCTTAAAAAAGACAGAAAAAGAGTATGAAGTGTTGAAGGAGAAAATCTTGTATGGCATCAACAGGAGGTACAATTAATTGGATCTCTTCGTTCATTCTATAAATACCAACTTAAATATGATAAAAATGAAAATGTAGGAGTTTTAGCTGCAGTCACCTTTATGCTACTAGTCTCACTCATTTGATACAAAATTAATCTTTCCTTTGATATCGTGTGGGAAGAAGGAATGTTAGTACATGTATGGGAACATTGTACTTAATGCAGCAAAACCTGGAATGAACAAAGACTGCTAAAAATTGCACAAAAACACACCATAAAAATACACAATTTGAACAAGAAAAAGAGATGAACTATCAAAAATAAATATTTCTGTTCTACCTCCTAAATGCTAGGCATGGGCAATACATTTTAAACAGATTATTATATCATATTTTCAAGTAACTCTTAACTCATTACAAAGACAAAAAATAAACCCACAAAAACAGTGGAAATGTGAAAGCAGACATCCTAATTTATATATGTCACAGAGTTGTACCTCTTTGAGGTTTTTTTCCTGAAAAGATTCAACTACATGACATACAGCAAAGTCGTGCTTTTAAGATCTTTTTATTTGCTTCACTRAGGCAGAAGAACATCAAGCGATTTGTACAAAGTGTTTTAACGTTACTATTTTTGTAATTCCCATCTCTCTGGAATTTGGGTATCAGCACACAAATGCAGGCACTTCTCACAGGAATTGGCATTCTGGATAAGACAAATGGTTCATCCGGCTTATAGCCTGTCTTTTACTTTGATCATCATCCGAATTCCCCCATGTAGGTCATTTTAATACTTAATAATCACTGTGCTAAGTGTGGCCACAAGCAGATAAAAATGTTTTAACTTTCGTTAGATATTATTAGATATTTTTGTTGTATATTATTTGTCCAGAATATTTCTGAATCTCTGTACAGATGCTTGTCATGGTTTAACCCCATTAGGCAGCTCAGTGCCACACAGCTGCTTACTCACTTACCCAGTGGAATAGGAGTGAGAATCAAAAGGGTAAAAGTGGGAAACTTCATAGCTTGAGATAAAGACATTCTAATAATAATTAAAAGAAAATATACAACGAAGAAAAGAAGAAAATATGAAAAACAAAACCCCAAAACAATTGCTCACCACCAGCCAACTGACACACAGCCAGTCCCCAGGTAGTGCCAGCCCCAGTCACCCTCTGCACACCTCCATCTAGTTTTACTGCTGAGCAAGACAYCATACAGTATGGAATATCCCTTGGGTCAGCTGGGGTCACTGTCCCAGTTGTGTCTCCTCCCAGCCTCTTGTGTACTCCCAGCCTCCTCATTGGTGGGGTAGTGTGAGGAGTAGAAAAGGACTTGAGGTTGTGTAATCACTGCTCAGCAATAACAAAAACATCCTTATGTTATTATCACTGTTTTCATCACAAATCCAAGGCATATTAAGCCCCACAGAAGCTACTATGAAGAAATGTAACTCTATCCCAGTTAAAACCAGTGCAATGTCTTAGTAATACTCTGCATGAGCTTTCCATTCTCATTTATGTTTTTCATGTTCATTTTAAAATTAAGTTGGCCCAAACAGAAATCCAGAATCCATGTGTTAATTAATATGGATAATAGTTACTGACAACATCTGACACCAGACCTGCTACCAGCCATATGTGACAACATTTCCAAGTGGTCCAGGACCTCTATTTAAATTCTGGCCTGGGCACCTAAACCTGGCTCACTTTGTCAGAGCTTCTATTTGTATCCAGTCATGCGTCCTTTGAACAAGATTTATTAACCGAACTTCCTAGGTGGACCTCAGACTTACATTGCAGATGCAACATTCCCTCTGACCCTGGTCTCTTGGATGAATTTTAACCTTATGTTATAAGTAGTCTTCTGTCCAGCCTTGTCTTCTTGGTTCAGATTGGTATTACAGGAAGTCTTATCTCCATTCTGTTACTTCTGAGTGGATCTTTTGGATGGACCCCGAATTCTTGCCCTGCCTTATCTCAGACTGATACTATCACCACTCTGACCCCACTGGGACAGTATCGTGGTCAGAGAAGCTCTGCCTCTGCTGTAGCCATGCTCTGTCCAGCTCTATCTCATGGAGCATCTCCTGCTGCTCCTCATTACAGGATAAGCAAGCTGACTTCTGGTTTTGCCCAAAAGCCTCTGGGAGCTTACTGAAAAGAGTGTTAATGTGAGTTTCACTACTTACCTGACRAAAAGAGAGTCCTGATTTTTTTTAAAAGGGAAAAGTCTCCTTGCAAACATATTCTATAATGTTATAATTGCCTAAATAACTGATAATATTATTCAYGACATTCAAATGAAACCTTATCAATTTTTTTTTTAACTTAGAGACACGGAAGGGAGTGAAAAGGATTTAGAACAGACAAAATTCAAAGACATCTGTGTTTCAATGTAATAGTTCCACAGTCACTGAAAATTCTGAAAGCTAAGATTCAGATAGCATAATAAATCATAGAAAGGCCTTTTTTTCATTTTTTAATCACTCCAAACTTTACAAAAACATAGAGTAATATTACAGACAGAAAGCATCTAATATGGACACTACTACACATATATATGATTAATTATGGTTCTGAACATGCATCTTTGGTTCTGTGTTAAGTGATGCCAATAATTGCTATTTATAACTATGTGGTCAAACACAGGGCTAACATATCACATTGTTTAGATGCATGAAGTTCCAAGTCTGATCCATTACTAATTACCTCAAAAGAGTCTGGCTTTTATTACAATTTATGTGAATAAATTGTTTTGCAGCCTTCACAACACAGACTGTGACAGCAGGTCATCCAACACTAATGGATTTTAAAATAATTGAGGGGAATTAAAGCCTTACAATTTAGACTGAGAACAACACAAGAATTATTTAATGTGATTCAGGGTAAACAGAATGAATTCATGCTTGTAGAGAAAACTCCTGAAAGATGTTTAAGCTTTTTTGCAAGGTTGAATATACCGGTTTTCCAATTTTTAATGTTAAGTTGCATGGAAGCAGAATCTATTGCAGGTGCTGATTGATTATTCCCTCAGTTCCTTCAGACATAATCTGGCAGTTTCACTACTCTTGCCAGGAAAGTTACCTTAAGCAGCATTGTGGCCTGTGCAAGCTTAAAAAAAAAATCGTTTTATATTTCAACCCATCTATTCCAGCCTCTTCACTGMCAGTGGTGCTTCAGGTTTCAGTTCWCTCTTTACATCTGACACTTGTACCAGACCACAAAGATCTGTGTCAGCCAATGAAGGGATGTTTTGGGACWCAGCTTGACAATGTTTGACAATTATGTATGATGATGACAGTTCACTGGCTGCTAAAACCTTGTCAACAAGCGCAGTTGCATAGTTTCAGCTGAGCCAAATTAACAGCTTCCTAGCAAAAATCTCATTGTCTCCACTGCTCAGTTGGTTTTCTGCCATTTTAACAAGCTGAACTGGCATACCACCCAATTAAACCAGAGAGAGTGCATGGGAAGCAATAAAGTCATGCAACTGGATATGGAAGATGTTATCCTTATCACAGTGACAGTGATCTGTTCAGTAAACTCAGGCCAGAGCATGACTGCTCAACCACTGTAAAGGGATTAAAAAACAAGCAGCAAAAACAAATGAAAAGCAATCACACAGAAGAGAATATCCAATACAGCTGGAAAGGACTAACTGTGTAAATATTCCTCTTCCACTGGCACATGGGACACTTGGCCCAGTTTCAAGCTATTAAATATTATCCAGGTGTTTTACACAATACTTGACATTATTTAGTGATTTGACTTCTGCAAATTCAGAGAATTTGATCAGTACAGTAAAAAATGCAAATTGAAAACTATGCTACATGCATTAGTTTTTGACATTTCAATTACAGAGATAACCTAATCAGTGTGAATATGTTCTGTTTTTTAAAAACACCTAGTTTGCATAAAATGTTCAGAAGTTAATGCAAATATTAATATAGTCCTATTCACACTCAAATTATATCACCTTATTTACATATTCCTACTCTGTAGCAGAATAATTAGGCCCACAGTGACATACCGCTGTAGTAAAAGTAAGATTTGATCATGTAAGTCACTTACCTTATTCTCATGTTTTATGAAGGCTCTAGAGCATACAGATGGAACAATTTTTCTTGTAAACCTCCTCCACCCACTGATTATTTCATATAATACAGCAGGCCTTGAAAAACACAATTGCTTTCTGTTACTGGTGAATTAGACTCTGCAGCAAGCGAGGTGAGGGGGAGTCAAGTTTTCACAAGAGTTTCTGCATCTGTGGTCACAAAGAAAACCTCATAAATGTTAACTGAGTCAGTGCAAACTTTTGAACCTGTATTCAGTTCAACATATTGATTCAAGGTTTCCCAACTAACTGCAAAATAAGGACAGACTATTTTTGCTGCTGCTGTTCAGAAGTMCTTGGGTAAGAACGATACTGACACGAGTTTTTCCATTATTTGGAAAAACTATGAGCACWAGCAGCACAAAAGAGGCCAAGAGCCAATGAGAAACTCATTAAGCTGCTTAAACTGATCTAAATCTAGGCTGTTGAGGTCACATCCCGCCCCCGCCACATATTTCCACCCCCTTCCTTTAGCCGATGCTAGTGTTTACAAAAGCTGGTGATGGTGTGCCAGTTCAAGGCAAAAAAAAAAGAAAAACAAAAAACCTCCAAACCAAAACCAAGCCAACACACCAACACATCACTTAGGAAGGACAGTTTCCAACCTGATCAATTCTATGAACAGGTTTAAGTTTTGCAGTACCAGCATCAGTGCRGGGAGGGAGATAGGAGCACAACAGCTGGAAATTAAGAGTAGTTTAAGCTTCTATGAAACAAGAACCTAACAAAGAACTGGAAGTTCTTGAGTTTATCCTTAGCTATACATACCCTTTCGCACACTGATCAAACTCTAGACTACAAATGGATGTAGATTTCTTTCCTTTGCTGTCTCTTAGTAAGTCCAATTTCTATGTTATTCTRTTGGTTAGAAATGTCTTTTATTAGTAGCAACTCATTCATGACTGGCTCTTAACAGAGGCTCAATAGTGATAACTGCACCTAATTTCTAAACTCTCAAACGAGACAAGATTAGAGAAAGGATAAGAGGCAGACATAATTTGTTTCCCAGCACTTAAACAGGAAAGGAAGTGGACTGAAGTAAGAGGAAGCAACTCTCCACAGTCAGTAGGTTTCTTTGCAATGCCTGGAAAGGGGAAAGTTTCTTTGTTCTTTTCRCCACAGCAAAAGCAATGTTCAAATATAATAGATACAAGCTGATACAAGTATGTGACATTAGATACTATCCCATTCGACAGAAGGGTTTATTAGAATCCCATTTACCAAAAATGAGAGCATAGCTGCTTGCTCATGCTGAGTTTGATACTCACAGGTTGGGTAAGGAATGAGATCAATTTCACTTTTATGCTGTATTTATTAAGCTGTATTTTTTATCATTTAGCAGTAGAACACATTTAGAATTCAACATGTTCAATCTAAATTTTAAATACTTTATGTGTTGATGCTATTATGAGTGCTCATGTCCTCTGCACTTTTTCCTCAGCTAACAGTAATTTGGGGCTTCATCTGACCATGTGAGAAATACAGTTTGCAAATTTCCCAGATGGAGTATTTGCACACTTCTTCGTTTGCCTAAGGTTGTTCTAATTTTTGCMTTATGATTTTTGGGAGATTAAAAAGCGATTTATTTGGAAAAAGTTATCTTTGCTACAGATGGGCATCATGAAAATATAAACAACTGCACTCAAGCTTTGGAAAGTAATCAGTGTATTGTTGCAAAACCAGGCTGAAACTTCGCAAAGCTCACCTTCCTCATCCACGTAACTGCAAGCGTATACTGAGGTCCTCAAAATGATGATGGGCACACAGGATTTGTGCGAGAGGGCCAGCAAACTTCAGGTACGTCTTATATTGTTTTACCTCTTTTTTTTCCCCCCCTTAACATTTCCGCTCTCCAGTGACAGGCGCCCCAACGCCCACGGCGGAGCCCGTGGCCCTCGCTCTAGAGCGACTCAGAGGGTGCAGGGACCTTTCGCTTCCACCGGCTGTCACCGGCTGAGGAAGAGCCTGCCGGAGACTCGGGGTGCTGGAGGCACCTCAGCCCGCCCCGCCGCCCCCGCTCAGCCTGCGGGGACACACCGAGGCGCGGCCGGAGCCCAGGCGGCGCGGGGGAGCCCCCGGG